CCGACCTATCCATCCATCCATCCATCCACCCACCCAACCAACCACCCACCCATCCATCCATCCATTCATCGCTCCGCCATCCACTCACCTATTCATTTGTCAAACTATATAATATAGTTAAAAAAAGACTTATCATAAGTTACCAATTTTATGTTTCTATTTTCAGAACTCGCAGTGTTTCATCATTAAGTGTCCCCATGCCTGAAGAGTTCAAGGCTGAGCCGGAAGCAAAAATTGAAGAAAGCTTTACGATTCATCTGGGTTAGTTTTGACTGCTGATTTTGTGGCTTCTTTAGTTATTGGGCTCCCTGTGGAATACCATTAGTCCAGCTAGCCCATATATTTGTGAAGATGGCTACTAAATATGAAATAACCTTTGGAAAATTGATTTAGATGATTTAAGGTTGACTGGAAAGAATAATAAGCCCACTGCAGTAAGCAAAAGATTTATTCAAATTCACAATACAAGCCAATGGTACTCTCTTTACTTTTGGGGTAATGTTTCCCCATATTTTCATTCTCTTGAGAATAAGATTCTTTGCTTGAGTTGTATTTCATATTCATGTGTCTAGCTTCTCATGTTCAACAGTTTGAAGTGGGAAAACGTTACACCCAATATAAAGAGGTCTATAGACCCTTGTTATACTGTCAGCAGCCATGTTCAACAAGAATGAAAGCCTTTGTTTTTGCCTGTTCAAACTCATCCTGAAGAGCTTGAATTGGAGGCTAGTCAGGCACGCTCTACTGGTCCAGCCAATGTGACTGTCATGTGAGAAAGGTGTAATATCTTTACTTTACAACAAAATAATTCAATGCTATTCTATTTTCCATAGGTGCACAACAGAAAACCATGCACAATTTGAGACTGATCTGCGGTGATGTACTGGACATGTGCAGACACAAAACACCTCCAGGAGGGTAAGTTGACATAGCAACCTCTATTTCCATGGCAACCTTCTCTAACGAGAATGCAACATGGTCTGATATGGGAAAATGTTATTCCAATGTTCTCTATCACTATATCAAACTTTTCTCTTAATATAGCAACCAATGGATGACTTGCAACAACAGGTCACGACCCTATCCCCTTAAAGCATGAAGTTATGTCAAAATGAATATCAAAAATTGAAAAGAGCACCTCAATATTAGTATGGAGGCAGATGGAGGCAGTAGTGCAAGTCAACCATTGTAATGGATAATTTATTTGTAAATTTTCATTTGTATTATTTTTGTTTTCAGATCAGTGTTTTCACAGCCTCACAGGATACAGACTGCATTATCACTCTACTCTGAGACACTAGCGGGTCTTGTTCTACTTGTGGACAATAGACTGGACAGCTATACTGGTATTATGAAAGGTATGTCGTCATGGCTTCGCAGACCCCAGAACCCACAATCACATGAGTAGAGTTACTTGTTGGTTCTCTCCTGTGCTTTGAGGGTTTTTCTCCGGGTTCTCTGGTTTTCCTCCCTCCTTTAAAATAAGCTTCTAAATTCTAATTCAATATTTGAGCTTTCACCTTCGATCCTATTCCTTCGTAATGAATCATTTCCTTGATTTAAAACCAGATTTTGCAGCCATTTGTCAACAATCAACAGAGTTCCACTTCCCAGATCTTGACAAACAGTTGTGCCTGATACAACAGAGCGTGGAACACAGAAAAAGAACCAAGTCTTCTACTAGTGTCACTGCACGTGTTCAAAGACCAACAGAGGAAGACGCCCTAAAGGTGCCAACGCTGAATGCAGGTAAAAAGTATCCTTAAAAGTTAATCTAACCAATGCTAAGGGAAGCAGGGGATGTGAGCTGTTAATTTGCCGTCTCTCATGCAACACCGTTGTCGTGGGTTTGATCTTCAGACCCGCTATAACATGTGGCATGGCTGTGAAGTAGCTTTTAGCTAAGTCCATTGACCACGGTAAATAAAGGTTATTATTATTATCATTATTATTATCAAGAGTAGAGTTGCGCCACCTCATGCAACACCATAGCTATGGGTTCGATTCCCGGACTCACCCTAACATATAACTAGAGTTGCTTGTTGGTTCTCTCCTGTGCTTCGAAGGTTTTCTCCAGGTTCTCCGGTTTTCGTCCATCTGTAAAAATCAACTCCTAAATTCCACTTCGAGTGCGTCGTGTGCTTCTGAGAAACTTAGCAATTGTGTATTCGATGTAACTAGCTTGTGCTGTGGTTTGAAGAGGGCTTTCCACGTTAAGAAAGAGAGATCTCAGATATTATTTGTCCTTCTTGGGTTTCTAGGGGATTTCTACATAACACATCACTCTAATTTAGCCGAAGCCCAAGTGGTGTTTCACTTGATAGTAGACGACACCGTCAAGTCAGCGTCGTTAAACAGTCGCAACCCGTCCATAGTCGGGTTAAGACACGTGTTACATACCGCAGTGCGGTATAATATCACTACCCTTACTATACCGTTGTTATTGTTCCATGAGATGACTGACGAGATGACGGTCAATTGGTGTGTTAAACGAGCAGAATTGGTGCTGAAATGCGTTAAAGGTTTGTACTATAATTCTGGTCGTAATTCTCTTACCCCCAAAACAGTCACCCAGTGGGTTACTTGTGTTGTGCCCAGTCCTCTCTCTTGCCCTGCTTTAAGCTTTGTACTATTCTTGTCGTACTCCTCTTACCCCCAAAACAGTCACCCAGTGGGTTACCTGTGTTGCGCCCAGTCCTCTCCCTTGCCCTGCTTTAAGGTTTGTACTATTCTTGTCGTACTTCTCTTACCCCCTAAACAGTCACCCAGTGGGTTACTTGTGTTGTGCCCAGTCCTCTCTCTTGCCCTGCTTTAAGCTTTGTACTATTCTTGTCGTACTTCTCTTACCCCCTAAACAGTCACCCAGTGGGTTACTTGTGTTGTGCCCAGTCCTCTCCCTTGCCCTGCTTTAAGGTTTGTACTATTCTTGTCGTACTTCTCTTACCCCCTAAACATTCACCCAGTGGGTTACCTGTGTTGCGCCCAGTCCATTTTCTTGCCCTGCTTTAAGGGTTGTCATCTTCTTGTACTGGCATCTCATGACGCATACAATGGTGTCCCCTCATAAGGCTTGACAGTGTAAAGGCATGATAATGATAATGATGATGTTACATTATGATGATACATATAATGATGCATGATGATGTTGATGACACAATGATCATGATACATGATGATGATGAAACTGGATGTTGATGATACATTATGATGACAAGGTCGCATGGTGACAACCAAGTCTCGTTCCTCGTGTACCCTAACAACTCATCATTTCAATTTATGCTCGTTAGGATTCATGATGGAGTGTGCTTCTTGGAGCGGCGTGGAGTCGTTGAACGTCCAATTCATGATCCCTAAAGGAATCTCATTAGACATGTTTAACACCATCTCCAACATGCTGCCCAATATCTTTAGGATCTCAACTCCCCTAGATCTCACATCAACTTCTAATCGATAAGAGATCTTAGTTACAGTTATGTTTAATGATATCACTATGGTTACTGGGTGGAGGCAAAAGCAAGAGGTACCAAGGAGGTCTGCGACCTCAACCTCTATAAACCTCACATCCACTTGTAAGTAGACAGACTGCAAAAATTATTTTAGAGTTTCTGGGAAAAAATGGATATTTTATCGATGAATTCGCAAATTCGATATTAGTACATAAAAATGGTATTCTAAGTTGGTCTGCAAACATTTCTATCACCTGACAACCTTCGTATCATTGTACATTCCGTTTATACTATATATACACGGCTTGAGCTAATCGTAATGTTCACGTCGCATCTAGTAAATGCTCTTGTTGGAACTGTATTTTTCTTGCAGTTTGCAACTTAAAGGAAATAAAGCGTTGTAAGTTGCTGTAGGAGTGATTCAGAATGCATTCATTCATTTTCTTGCAGTTTGCAACGCAATAAAACTTATTTAAGCATGAAATGAAACTTGAGCATTGCAAGTTGCTGTGGGAATAATAGAGAATGCATTCTTTCTTTATTGCAACTTACAATGTTCATCACCCCGTGCTGCGAAGCATGGATTATTTTCTAGAAAATCGCGCAACTAATCTTTTAGTTGTGCGTGCCAAAAATTTTTTGCAACTTGTCTCGCAACAATTTTACGTTACAAGTTAAGAGAAAAATTCCCACCTATTTCAAGGTCTTAAAAACTTGAAGTAGAAACATGGTTGCCAAACGAATTATAAGGTACCGAGTTTCTAACTCTTGCAAATGGTCTTATAAGGGCGCAAAACGTCTGTGGAGACCTCCGCCACTTACAACTGTAAATATAAGGTGGTGTTTTCGATTCATATAGAAGTAAAAGATAGCGCTCTGTACAAAAAAACTGGCTTGTAAAGAAACTTTTTGTTAATCTAATCTACGGAGTTTTTCGCTCTCCTTGCTACTCTATTCACATGTTCCAAATCAAAAAGTTTCTTCAGTAGTTCTCTAAATCCTAGGTATTCTAATTTACACTCCGCATTCTGGACTCTTCGCCGACAGCATTTGCAAGATAGTTTAAAGGATTCCCTCGCTCCGGTCCGATGTACGGGAATGTTATCACACTCCATACTCGACAACGCTATATTCGCTACATCCTTGTAAATATACTCCACTAAGCTTGAACACGTCTTGGCATACTCGTGTAGCGTTCGTTCTAGTTCTTTAATTCTTTCGGTGGAAATTTCGAGTTTTATTTCTGGTCTCAGATCGTGATAATCCTCCGAGTCCTCGATAGATAGTGATGATATGTAACGAGCTTCTTGGACGCACTGGGACATGACCTCCTTGAGGCCGAATCGCTCGGCGACCTTGTAGAAACATAGCGCATTTGATTCTTGTATGTTGTAAGATAGATATTCACTGCAGAACGTCTTGACGCGATCTATCTGGTATTCCTCTGCTAGCTCCAGCAGGTAATGGTAGTTCTCGTCTGGAAGATTGAAAATAGAAGGCGGAATAATAGAATTTAGTTGAGAATGTCGAAAATAATGACACGTTGATAAAAATAAGTGGTTGTGATGGTGATGATGATAATGATGATGATGATGTTGATGGTGTGGTGATAATGACCGATAATGGTGATGCATGGTGACCTATGATGATGATGGTTGTGGTGATGATAATGATGATGATGGTGATGATGATTATGATGATGATAATAATGTTGATGATGGCGATAATGACCGATGATGGTGATGTCCGATGGTGATGATGATGACTGATGGTGTGGTGATGGTGATGATTATGGCGATGATGATGACGATGATGATAAGAGTGATGATGATGATGGAGGTAATGATAATGATGACAGATGACGATCATCATGAAACTAATATAGACGCCACAATAATGGAAGAGACTTTATGTAAGGATTATTACTTATTCACGTTCACGATGGCGACGATGAGAAGAATGAGGACGAGGAAGACTATGGTACGGCTTTGATTGTGATCATAATGACAAAAGAAAAGTTATTTTTTGGAGATTCCCATAAGTCATTATCATTCGTTATTGGCGGATGGATGATGACGATGACCATGCTTTTGAGCATTTGTCCAATGAAATAATACTAATTAAAAATGGACGAAGTAGTAAAAGAAAAAAACAAATAAGACTTACTGGTGACACCCTGTATTTTGCCATACGAGTAAATCACCTTCAGCAACACTTCCACTTCCTTCTCTCGTTTCCCAGGTAACGGGATCTCCTCGGCATTTCTTTCGGAAAACTCAGAAGTGAACATCTTTTCGAAGACTGGGGACCACATTGATAGGGTGCTCTTGTGGACATAGAATCTTGAATCCTCTACTACAAGCACCACATCACTAAAGTGCCATGGGGACGAAAAGTCGAACAGCTCATCATCGTGGTTTTCCATTTTGATCTGAATGAATTATTAGAGTTGAGTACATGAATAAATGGATGAGGCTCTTGAAATGGACAGATGTGTGTACCACACGTTGCTTTGCAAGTGTACACAGACGGACGGACAGACAGACAGACAGACGTAGTGAAAGCAAACTCGCACACGCAGACGTATCCGTGTGTTAGACAAACAGGAAATCCAAAGCCAATGAGACAGACACATTAGCACTAATGAACAGACCTACAGACAGACAGACACCGCAGTAAAACAGTGAGACCGAAGTCAGATAAACAGGACACACACATCCAATGAGACAGACACAAATACGTACTAGATGGAACAGACAGACATAGACGACAGTCGCAAAAATAATTCTGACTTGCATGCCAAGAAGACGGACAGAGAAAGACATACGGACAGACAGACAGGCACATGGACAGAGAGACAAGCCAACTTAGAAACAGGCAATGAATGCCAAGAATACAGACACACAGCTGTTCATATTTGGTTTCTTTTCTGAAGAGTGGAAACCGACCGTCATTTAATATACTTCACTACAATACCACAGACCAAGCCGAGCTCCATAAATAGAGAGCCAGACAACCTAATCCATGAATGTTAATATCGTTCAGTATCTCAGGAATACAGACAAATGACTCACTGATCTGACCTCTCGATACTTCGTCAGTTTTATTTTTGCTTTCGCACGGAATCCGAATAGAACGTTGCAGTGCGTGGTTTAAATAATGTTCTCCCAGTCCTCGTACGACCAGTAATTTTGATTAATACAATGTATTCTAAGTCCTTGCACAAAGTACGATTTACTTAATCAAATATCAAACAGAATAAATGTGCATTAATGTGTGAAGGAATCTAGCAGAGTCGATAAAACGACTATTAAAATTCAGTCTGATTTGATCAGTAATTCTCGATCTTCTTCACTATGAATCTGAAGGATCTGTCGATTAAAATCAAAGAATGACACTCCCCTGGCAAACCCAAGCTGAACAGTTCATTGGGAGCCGTTTTTGAGATCAAAACAGCTTGTCTAAAGCATGTCAACAAAGCACAGATGTGTTAAAATAGAATCGAGTCAAAACTCTGTATGATTTTTACTTACGAATAGACTAAAATCTTGCTGAGAAAGGTCTTATGCAACTCTTGGCCTAATGGAGTCCTGAAGTGTAGTGGTTAACCAATTTAACTTCAAAGGGAAGACTCGCTGTCTCTCAAGAAAACCTTCCAGTAGTAAACAGAAGAATAAGGGTGGTGTTGCGTGACCTGCACGT